ATTTCTTCCTTTTTTTAAAAAACAGAAATCAAGCAGCAGTTCCGTCACAGTCCATGGTCCCCGACCCTAATGTTTTCTTTTTTTTTTAACGATCCATCTGACCTCGCAGTAAAACAAAACAAAGTAAAGTAGAACAAGTTTTTCCAATAATGCAGAGAATCTAACGAAAAAAAACCCTCCAAATAAAGTTTGGATTTTTCTACTGTCCTCAAAGCACCTTTTGACAAACGGGAGAATAATCTGTCTGTTTCACTTGAATGACAAAGAATCATCACACACACACACACACACACACACACACACACTCCCTGTATGACCACTGTCTGGCGTCAACTTTCCTTTCAAATCTGGATTTCTTTCCCTCTGTCTCCTCAGCAGCTTTTCACTCAGATGAAAAATATTTCCTCTGAGTCACCGCTTGTTTCTTCTTCCTTCACCAATGAAGTGCAAAGTGCATTTGTCTCCTCGCTCGGCCGGCAGCTGGTCGGCTTCTAAAGAAACACTTTTCCCTCCATAAATGCCCTTTTAAGACGAAAGGCACTCGGTGTGTGTTGACCCACTTCAGTGACAAGGCTGGGACACTGGAACCAGGTGACGTGACAGACAGTGACGAGGTTCACGCAGGTACAACTACAAAACCCTGCCTTTCTCGTCATTTTGTCCCATTTTGGACTCTAGCGCTCACCTAGAGCACGCAGCGGCCCACACTCCTGTTTTGGCTGCTGAAGTTGAATGCAGTGACATCATCGTTGGACTGATACATGGAGGAAGGAGTATTTTCTTTAGGGGAATCTGAATAGTCCAAAGAAGGACATCCTAACCACTTTTCCTTGACCTTAAGGAAAAATGTTCAGGAAAGTGTTGTAGAAGAGTTCACAAAGAATTTATAGAAAAAAAAAAACAACAATCTCAACTAAACTGAACTAAACTCAAAAATTAAAAAAGGAGTGAAATTCTAGCAGGAAGTTTTCAAAGTTCAAGGTGCACCTCCCCTAGAGGGCGCCAGAGTACTTACTGTGAGAAGCGAAAGAAAGAAAAAGAAAGGCAGGTGTCTTAGCTGAACAGTGATCGTAACTGAACAGTGATCGTAACTTAGGGAGAACAGGAACCAAACAGTGACAGTCACAAAGAACAACCGTGAACATTTGAAACGTTGTCCAGACTCCAAACTCGTAGACAGCGCAGCAGAGAGACCTCCATCACAGACTGACACTTCTTCATGTCCTTGTCTACTTACTCATTTTCTTTGTTGGAGGGCCACAGCCGTAATCGCGTTGGACTCCAATAGTTTTCATTAAAGAAGGAAATGGAAGTTTAGTCATGTCTTGAAACGTAAAAACTCAAATAATAAGACTTTTTGTGGATTTGAGTCAGAGTTAGTTCTCCATGGACGGAGGTTGGGTATCGCCAACGTATACCATCACAGATTGACAAGTTTGACCACAAGACGACTTGACTTGACGCTGCAGTTCATAACCAACAACTGCACCTACAGGTGACTTTGAGTAACTACCAAAGGACTCCAGTAGTTTCCACTTCCTATTTGCAGGAAACGCCCGTTGTTGTTGCGTCCGTGGGTCATATTTACTCCTGAAACATTTGGTCTGTGTTTCCTGTTATTGTCCAGTCATTATCCAACCCACTGCAGAACAAATCGCTTCCATTGTCCCGCATGACAAAAATCCACCAAACAGTGCCGTCCCTGTGACTGCAGAGAATTCTGTGTGCAGCTCAAAGGCTCATGGGTGATGATGACCTCATCTGGAAGAATACGATTTTAAAAATGATGGTTTTGGTTTGTAGCTGAAAAAAAAAAGACCATCGTTATAATTATTTTCTAAGAAAAAAAAAAACCCGGGTCAGTTTGACACTTTATATCTTTATACTGTGATCTAAACTGTCGTTAAGGTCAGCTACAGTGAAGAGGACACACTGACACACTGATCCCACACACACACACACACACACGGCGAGCAGCTCGGCTGATCGTCCACACATAATGAATGTGTGAAGTTCCAGGAAGAATTTGGCAAAAACTGTTGCATTTTTGTCTGAACGTGAAGACGAGGAAAGGTCACCAGATTACAGCAGATGGACAGACCATCGACTTCTTCTTCTTCTCATTTCTACTTTCACTGCTCTGCTTAGTTCACGGACAGACCGTCGTCTTCTACTTTCACTGCTCTGCTTAGTTCACCTCTTGGATGTATGGATATAATAACCTTGAAGTTCACATTATCTGCGTCGAGGCAACATGACCCCAGCAGAACTGTTTCTCTTGCCCTCGTACCTGTGAAGTCACAGGAACTTTGCTCGGGTGAATGTTTATGTGAAGCGCTCCGTGACCATATCTAGTCCCACTTTCAACACCTCGGTCGGACCGTCACACATGCCGATCCACTGTCTAACTAAGGAATGTGACTAATCTGTTGCTGCAGACTTTCAGTTGAGGGTGTAAAATAACATCCGACCGGGCATTATCAAAGGTTAACTACAGCTACGCGGCGGGCGTGTTTCCGCCGTGGTCCGCAGGAGCCGTCCACCTGGGTCTGGCCCACACAGATTACACGCTAACTTCTGATAGAATACGTTTGTGGCAGTGATAATAATGATTCACTTCCACACTTTTTCGACAAATTGCCCATTGTTCTTAGCATCTCCACAGTTTCTATCTGAATCCACAGCTGAACCAACACTGGCTCCGTTTCCTGTGACAGTGAACGGACATTAAAACACAGCAGATGATGAGTCGATGATGCCGGTCTGTGTCAAAGGTTAAATGTTTACCCTCAAACTGATGCTTCTGTCAGACCATAATCTGCAACTTCACAGAGACTCAATGAGAAGTGATTGATGTTTGATTGACAGCCAAACCTTCCTAACACCAGGGATCTTAAACATCAACCAGCTAAAGGGCCACTGCTGCCACCGTCATGTCACTGTTAATCATTATTGACATCTAGTCAAACGACCAGAAGTGACCCCCAGGCCATAGGTTTGAGACACCTATACTAGGAAATCCAGAAGGTAGTCCAATCACATTATATTTTTCACCCATATTCCAAATTCTGGTGATGTATCCAGGTGTATTGTTTTGTACATACTGTACGCAGCACATACATGTTCTGTGACCTGCTGTGAGGTTAACACAAAGATGTCTTCCTGGATACTGGTTTTATTTTTATTTTTTTTAGCCTAAGTGAAATGATATAATGTTGAGTAAACAACTATTGACTTACAAGGACATGGAATGCAGCACTTGTTTTCCAGGAGGTGAGAGACACTCAACCACAACATGTAACTTCATCATCATTCCCAGATCATTCCCACACAGTGAAGGTTGAAAAAATAAAAAAATAAAAAATGTAATTAACTATTATCATGAGAGAAAGCTCAGCTGGAAACAATAATTAAAATTTACAGTCTTATGTTAGGAGCGGAAAATGAGTTCTATACTTGGACATGTAGTTTTTAGTGAAATGAGCTGAGTGTTAATGAAGGAACCTTAAGGATAGAGTTCCTCGGCCTGATTATTTCTGGCTTGGTTATATAACTGTGAGTGGCAGCGACTAAGCCTCGTCAGAGGCAGCAGATAAGCCTCTGCAGCGATAACGCAGCTCCTCTCAGGTCTGTGATCACAGCATGGGAAAAAAAAGACTCTCCAGTTGGCTGATCTGACAGACAGATAGAACCCACGGTGCTGTCTGTAGAACCACAGAACGCCGGGTGTCTGTACATGGTACGTTCTTTTTTTTCTAGTGTCGGTGAAGGTAAACTGCAGATATAAAGTCACCGCGACAAATGTCCAATTAAATGCTATTATTTCTATGTGTTTGTGACTGGTGTTAACGTACTGTTGGAAAAGAAACATAGTAATCCTTGAGTTTACCACCTGGAGAACTCGCCCCATCACAGAACATAACAACTCCAATCAGAATCCTTGATTATAATTATTTACTAATAAACTGTTTCCAGGTCTGGTTACTATTTTTTACATATTGCTCCTACTGGTCTACAGTGTCTACAAAGGCATCCAAACTGTTGGTAACGCCTGCACATCGTTCTACTTTGATGCCAATGAAGAAAGTCGTCCGATGTTCCTTGGTAGAATTTAGGTTAAACGTTTAGAAATCAGACAATTTTCTTACAGTATCTCTGAATTACCAGTCACGTTTGTGCTAAGCCGCATCTGGAATTAATGTGTATTATTATGTAAAGCTGGGGTCTTGAACGGGGGGGGGGGGGGGGGTCTGTAACACCTCAGAGGATGGGCGATACTTTAAAAGAAAATGTCATTGAAAATATACTCCAGAAAAGAATCCAGAAAATTAAAGGTAAAGTATACATTTTTGACAGATATTTATGTGATAATGTATCATAAAACTGTGTAACATTTAAAGGCAAATTTAGGCAGAAATGATGACACAAGAAGGGGTGACTGAGTACAGCACGTGGATGAGTCCGTGGCCCGTGGACACCTGGACCACTTTGGTCAGACCAGGTTCTGTAGTGCAGTGAAAAAACCTGATGTGTATGATGATGAGACACAGTCCCAGAGGCTCAGTCTCTAACAACAATAATCAAGTAAAAACACTCTGTCATTTAAAAAGTCAAACATTTGAACAACTGTTACACAATGAGCAGCTAGGATGTTCTAAATTAAAAACCATGGAAAGTAAATAAATAAACTTGCCTCTTATAATCAATTATCCTTAGAACCTACACATAACATATAGTGGGAGGTTCTGGCTCCATCTCTGTACTTTAGGATCTTTTGGCCTGAAAACGTTCGAGACTCGGAGTCTAAATATAACCTGAAATGTGCACTTTTAAAAAAACAAAACAGAGAATTCAGTCAGTAAAAGCAGAAGAAAAACTTCCAGTAAGTCATTCATCCTGTCTGTGATTACTGAGGCATCGCCAGCCTCTGATTGGCCGACCCACACAAGAGCGGCGGGCGCGCAGAGGGGCGTGTACGTCGGCCAGTGTGCTATATGAACGGCCGTGCGTCTGACCGGGAGCAGAGAAACGACCGAGCTGCAGCAGACACTTGGACATTACACTGTACACACCACGACAACAACAACAACAACAGTCGGTGCGCCGTGAACGCAGCACAGCAGCAGGACCGAATCCACGCAGTTATTTTCTAGCTGAGGCAAAGAGGAGAGTCAAAGTTTGGTGGAAAATGCAGTCCGTGTACCAGCACCTCATCAGCCTGCTGTTCGTCTTCGGCAGCCTGCACGTTGACCAGCTGACGGAGGGCTGTTCGTGCGCCCCGTGGCATCCGCAGGACGCCTTCTGCAACTCCGAGATAGGTGAGTGATCGGCGGCCGCGACGAGCCGCGTTTACCGCCGCGCAGCTACGGAGGCTGAGAACCACCTGCGCAGAGATCAGCGGTGCTGTCGGAGCAGCAGCGATCTGACCTCCCCCAATCAGATCACTTCTCTTACGATAACTGACACGTTTATATTATTGTTATCGTGTCGAACAGACATGCTAGTGTTGCAGTATCTGACACCGACGTCCAGATTCACCTCGATGTAAAATAACCTTGATCACTGACCACATTTATTTATTAACACTTTTGTGTGAATTATCCTTACACTCTGGCGTAGTACGTTTTACTGATGGAGGGTATTCACGGTTGCGTGTTTTTTTTTTTTTTTACTGTCATGTGGACAGGCATGAATCATGGCTGGAGTTGTGAAATAACACAGGCAGAAGTCCAGACGTGACACCCGGGGCTTCAAGGACTGAGCTAGAACACTATTTATATTTTTCACATATGCAGTAAAACAATGTATCTAGGTGATCTCAGAATATCACAAGTTAAAAGGATACTACTATACTGTATGAAGTACTTCCAGAGTCCATGTGTTCCCTGCAGTAAACAGGAGACGAAGTACTTCCCATGTGTTCCCTGCAGTAAACAGGAGACTAGAGCGACCGGAGTGAAATTTACACATTTGCTCCAATGTCACAACAGTTTGTGGAAGATGTGGCTGAAGAATGACATTCTGCCTCAGGTTTGCTGTCGGACAGATGTGAGTCCAAATAATCAAAACGTCAAATCCAGTTTAATGTGGTGAAGAGTTGCAGGGACGTGGAGCAATGGCAAGGTCTCACAGATCATTGAGGGATTTCACAACAGATTTTTTTTATCCTCTTCTGGCACGGTGGCATCGCTCGGGGATATAGTAAAGAAAAAAGAAACCCTTGCTTGTATTCGTGTTTTAAATGGCTACAGATCCTTCTTCATAACTGCCTCGAACCAAAGACAGAAAGAAGTGGTGAGAAACGTCAGCAGTTGAAAACGACCACAGTCTGGTATTTACTCGTACGGATCACCGACTTTGTCCTGTTGGCGGAGGAACTGTTTTAGCTTCATCGTGATTGTGGCAGAATTGTGCACAAGTGACTCCGTGTGGAGAGGGAACCGTGTGGGCCAGCAGAACTGTGCATGAGAGTTCTAATGACTGTTATTTGGACCAAAAAAAGATGAATGTGTTGCCCTTTAAAACCCTTTGACTTGTTCATCAAACTGTGGTCCCAGGTCCAGCTGGCTGTCGGTCCGTTGATTCTGGGCCACAGGGATTAAATTAATAACCCATTATTTGCATTCCACTGGTCATCAGTGCAAAAGATGAATTCTGAAAAGGTGCCATATTTTTCACAAATTACAAACACCTGTTGACACGTTATGATGCTTTTCAAAATAAAAGTCTTTGGAGTGTTCCTTTACAAAGGCCAAAGATAGAAGTTCAAATTTGTATTTTTTTAGGACTGCTTTACAAATGGGTTTACGACGTCATGTGGTGTTCAGTCCTGGGGTCTGAAGTGGTCACCCTACACAAACTTGGACACTGCACTTTTTCTGTTCACCAGTAGAGGCTGATAGTTTTATTAATATGAACACATTTCGTGTTACATGTGTTACATGTTACATCTTTGAAAGTTAAACAAATTTACCGCCCCTTATTTTCCAAATCCATTGTCAAGTGTGATTTTTGGGAGGCCAGAGGGCACATCTTGACTTTTCCTGTTTATCGAGTCACTCTCAGTTTAACATCCCGGCGATGACAATAAATCCTTTGTCAAGTTTCAGGGGAGCGGGTCTGCAGGGTTAGAACTACAATTACAGGAAGACGGTGAAATTAAACCCAGATATTTGAAAATCCAAAGAGCCCAAACTGTATAATCCCCTAGAAATCCCTGACCACTGAGACGATGTTCAAGTCTTCAGCCAAGTGACCTCTGTGGACTGAATGAAGGAGAAGTGCAAACACTTGTGCAATTCTTAAGAATCCAATTTCCAAAGTCCTAGCCTAGCTTGAGGTGTTCTCTCCAGGTTTGTGGTACGACTACAGAAACTCTTCTGTTGCAGACCACAAACAATAACAACTTTAGTCTTAAATAATGTTTGTACCAAAAATCATCTAACCTTACCAGATGTCTTTCTCTTCCCCCTTAAGGACTGAAACAAGGATAATCTGCCCAACTCTGCCGATTCAAACTTACTGTTACAGTAGCTTTTTTCCCCCGAAAACCGCATATTACTAAAGTGCTGTGAGGCTAACAATGTTGTTGTCATTAAAATCAGACATTTGATGACTTAATTATAACATCTTTTATAACAAACCTTTTTTAATTTACCCTCATGGGTTGCACTTGTTTTGGCTTTAATTTGTTAGACTATCAAGCAAACGTCTGAGGCACACGGAGCGAACGAAAGTACGGGTTTAAGAAGATAATCTTCTTAGGGAGAAACCCTGTAATTGTCGCCGTCGACTTCAAACGCAACAGGTCGTAATCTTCCCAGTTACAGAGCTGTAGTCAAGTTCAAAGTGTTTCTCTTGTTTTCTTGGCCCATAATCACGACCAGACTCGTCGCTGGTTGCAATAAATGCAAGAATTTAATCAAATGCTGAAAAAGCATCAAAACTGTGGAAATATTCTTCAATCTGGACTTCCCCTTTTTTTATGTTGGTGGTTGTTTGTAACGCACCAGTGCTGCACCTTTTTGGTTTCCAACATGAGGACCAGCTGTAGTTTAAACGCTGCGTCCCATTGGCAACATGTTCTCATGCATAGAAATTCACATCTGTGACCTGTGTTTAAGAAACCACAGGAAGGGACGTTCTCTGAGGTGTCCTCTCTGGGCCACACTGCTGCCGACCACTAGGTGACCTGGCTGCTGTTGTATAGAGACCTACTTGGCTACTATTAGGCATCTGCTTAAGAGAAGTCCATTCAGGGGAAGTAAGGAGCGCTTGTTTTTCCAAAAGCTCTCTGAAGGCGAGATTAGAGGCCCAGCAGTAACCTTTGACCCTGAGATTTAATATTGCTGTGTTACGGTGGTGAACAGAGCAAACCAACACAGGCCTGTACTGTGAATGAGGATTAGTCTAATATGTGTTGGTTCTTGGTGCAGATTGGGAAATGGAGAAAAGAAAACCCAAATCATGTCTGATTGCTGCCTCCAGGGTTTTTAACCCTCCTGGTTCCAATGTTTTTTTTTTTTTCTTTCTTTTTCTTCTTCTTCTCTTAATTGGACTGAGTACTTGAAGGTAATCGAATCAAACGCTCTTGGCCCCCTTTTCAACGAGTCAACAGGTGACAGATGATGATCTGGATGAAGCCAGGTTGCCTGTTGTGAGATGTATGATGCAAGATTACGTAAGCTATCCGTGGTTTCCCCCAAAGTGAGTTTAAATATGATGAGACGTCAAAGGTTTTGGATTCCGTGTAAGCTTGGAATGTTTGTCCTCTCAGCCGGGAATATCCAATATCCAGTCTACCTATCAGGACCAGGCCCCTGCTGTGAGGTCCACTGTGTAAATATGTAATCTACTGTCTTGTCTTTGATCAAGTTTTTTTTTTAATTGAAGATTTTTTAAATCAAATGTCAAACTTAAGTTTAGGCAGGAAAGAGCTTCAGGTTATGGATGTGACTCTGCACCGTTGTATTTGTGGAGACTTGCTAATTTGCTGAGAAAATTTTGTTGTGGAGGAATTTATTTTACGTACGTTGGTCAAAGGCTACGAAAAGGCACCAATTTGAGCTTTGACAACTGGTGTTTTGAGGTCAGCCAGCATGACACGTGAATTTAAATGACTAGTTGGTTTAGGATTCCCATGCCTTATTCCAACTGAAACATCATGTGAAATGTGTCGTCTTGTTGCAAAACTGGGAAAAGGATAACATTTTCCCATCAGAGAGAGCAGATATGCTGAGTGAACTAAATATTTCTTCTGGTTTTGGTCAGTTGGGGAGGCGAGCACCAGTCAGGAAACCTTGAGGGCGGAATTTGTGAAACTGACATTATGGAATATATTTGTACTTTTTCAGCACCGGTGGCACTTTCTCGCTGCAACACATTAGTCTGCTGCACCACTGTCATGTCACACATGGTGCTTTTAGGAAATGCAAAACAACAGTTGCAGTGCCAGACCTGGTGCTTTTAGAAAATGCAAAACAACAGTTGCAGTGCCAAGGGGTCGCCATGGTTTCTGTGACGACGTCTTTGCATTTCACCGGCTCTCAGAGCGGACATCACGTCACTTCACTTGAACACAGGCCTCTGCTCTGTGGCGGCGATTCAGTTTCACTGTTTATTTTTGAGCGCAGTAGCGTGTCGTCCTGAGAATTCCTCTTCCTCCCACACCTCCTCAAACTTGGACCTCTGACTGCATACTAAAAACCACTGTCACCCGCGCCTCCCTTTCCTTTCCTTGCCTCACATGCAAACACAAAAAGTGAATTAAATTCCTCCTTTCAAGCCTGCAGTTTGTCACACTGTACGTGGGTTGCAATAAATTCTCAAGTGAATCAAATTCCAACCCGAAGACTTTGCCTTTGTAAATAAGTAATACCTTGCCTCAGGCGGGAGGCACTGAACACATACCAAAAAAAAAACAAATTCCTTTGTTTTCTCCCGTTGCTCTGAGAAAACAAACCTGTTTATTGTTCTCATCAGTAAAAACTCCCACTCTTGAAAATGTTTGTCAGCGCTTCTACACTCTGCACAGACCTCTAATTTTAAAGAGTTTGAAAAACTCCTACTTGGTATTATATATATTTTAGCCATCCAAACCAAGTTTCCCAAACTTTAACTGCAGCGACACCCTGTGGTAGATCTATCTATCTGTCCATTGCAGCCATTTGTTAATTTTAAGAGAGAAAAAAACAAATTCGTGAATCGTACATCCAGTAATTCCACTGTCTATTCACGTGTTGTTGCACCCGAAACACCTGCTGTTATTTGCACACACTGTGGGGAAACAAAAAAACGATTCTCTTTAAACTTACGTTTAGCATAGCCACATGTGTGGACATGCGGAGTTATGTTCACTATGAATTGAACTTAGGTGTGAATATGAATGTGGATGGTTACTGGTGAGCTGCTGTGCTAGCCATCCTGGCCTGGTTACCGCTGACCCCACGACCCTGAACAGGACTTGTGCAGTGGAGGATATTCATATGAATGAAAATGTAAATGAATGAATCCATCAATCGAATTACATAAGATCTAATCTGCAGAACATTATCTAGAGAAATAATCTCATCAGCCTCGCAGGAAGTCAGCTCTACAGGAAGTAGTTCCAGGGTGGAACCAGGGTGACATTATTAAACTAGGTCAAATAAACACTTGTAACGTGGATGTTTTGACATGAGCCGGCTGCCAGAGGGTGAATGTAAATATAACTGCTGAATGGTGAGGAGGTCAATGGGTCACTAGTAGGGAATGACACAAATCCTCTGTCTCTGGAGCAGCTGAGGCCCTTTAAACATTCCTGTGGGTGATGGCACCATAACTGACCAATTAGTCAACAAGAGGGGTCCTATCTGAGCGCACTTCAGTTGAATCAGCTCAACTGTTGCCTTTGAAACATGAACATTTTCCCTCTCCCCGGGGTGGGTTTCGAGGTCGGAGCAAAGTAAGAATCCAGGTTTTGAGGTGAGCGTTACAAAAACAAGGCGAGTGTATTTAACTGACGTAAAAGTATCCTTCTGTAGCCACACATTCCTATGTAATTGTGGCTAGTTTCCTCTGTAATTTCAGAAGTGAATGTCTGTCAAACGGCATGTACGTTCGTTTGGCAAAGGTCGATACCTAGGTGATAGCTCTCCGTGGCTTTTATAAAAATAGACAATGAATTAATGGATCGGATGTTCTGCAAAAAGATGTAATGAAAGGTTGTTGGAAGACTGAAAGACTGGGCACGGCGCTCTGAACGTCCAAGTCTAAAACGGGATCACGACTTCGACTAAAGCCAACATTGGTTGTGCAAATAGTGATTTGGCACAACCTAGGGTTACTAAATGGAACTGAACAATGATTGCACCACTCTAGCCCCCTACCACAAAATCAACTTTGTCATTCTTCTATATATGGTACAGTGATAGCATGTTAGCGCGTTTGTTCAGACTCCAGTGCTAAAAGGCATAGCAACAGTCACGGTCGTATAGGATAAAAAAAAAAAATCAAAACAAACATCTATGTTTATAAAGTGATAAGATATATTTGAGTCCAGGGCTGTTTATGTCGACACGTTCTCAGGTGTTTATTTAGCTCTTCCATCCATATGATTAACCGTCTAAAAATAAACATACGAGTTATAGTTAGAATATCAAGTCAGTCATGTCCAAAAATAAATGTGTCAACTCTATTGAGGTGTGTCGACTCCTCTTCCTGCCCAAGTTTCCTTTTCTTATCCATTTCCTGCCACATGCTTTGTTTCTTTCTCCCATTTTTTTAAAAAAAATACAAGAATGTGAAGCTTCCCATTTTCCCGCTTTCCCGAGGAATGTGAGCTTCTTCAAGTATGTAGGGAAGGAAATTCCACCAGGGGAAGATAACAAACACGGCCGTGTTAGTTGTGTCTGTGGCTCGTTTGCTGTGGGTAGCAGGTGAACTTCACAGAATGTTTGTCGCCCAAATACAGAGCCCACAGGTCTGGTCCCACTCTGTTCACATGCCCGTGTTATCACTGTTGTTTCACTTCCCACTCCAGACCATCACAAGGAGCTCCCTGCTCCCAACACTAGGGGGGAAGCATGGGGGTCCTGCACCAGGATAAGATCTTTTTAAAGTCTAGTCGCGGTAGAGACACCAGTGTGAACAGAAGTGACGCACACATTGAACTCTTCAAAAAAAAATCTCTGGACAAATATTTATATATATGTACAATGTATGTGTATATATATATATTTATATTATATATTCATATGTAATACTTGGGGATTTTGCAATAAGAATTTACTAACGCCTCCTACTGGTCAAGCTCTTGTTTGTTAAAAAAAAAGTTTGATCGCTCCTGATTGGTTGATTGGTATCCCCTCTGTTCTTAGTGATCCGGGCTAAAGTGGTGGGAAAGAAACTCCTGCGGGATGGACCTTTTGGAACCATGCGGTACACAGTCAAGCAAATGAAGGTAAGAGAATTTTCCCCAACACAGTTTCAGAGAAAAAAATGTAAAAATGAATGTCAAAAGTAAAAAAAAAAAAAGGTTCCACAGTTTCAAATCATTGAAACCAGCTGGTTGTTTTAAATCACTCTCCAAATGTATCGTTGTTGTCGTTTCTTTTATTTCACATGATTTTATTTATTTGGTTTTTATTACTTCTCGCATTGTCAAAAGAACAGAAACAAATTCCAGCTCAGCGTCGACCTGCTGCACAGACCAGTAAACAGACTGCACTCGTAGCTGCTGCGTGACAGCTGAGCAGCAGTTCCTGGTACTGAAGACTGAAGGAATTCCATTCTTCACTTCCTCTGTATTCTTACATAACGCCGCATATTCCTGACAGATGTGGACGCGGGCCGGCTGCTCACACAGTAGCCAGGCTGCCGGATTAACGGGCCTCCAGACACTACAGCTTAACCAAGCTCCACACTTTAGGTGTAAACATCGCAGTGGTGTACGTTTCACTGTCCACACCTGATAAACCTCTCTGTTGAACCACACAACTGTCGCTGTAAGGAGTCTGGTTCTGTGGGCCAATCACATTAAACACAATAAACAACAATTCTTCCAGAATTCCGTCAAATCCTTTTCCCAAAAACCTCCACAGTTTGACGACTTGTACTGTAGTAAACAACGTTCTGTTGGTCCAGGACACATTTTGAGGGAAAAAAAAGTTTCCCACAGTTTAGTCCAGTTACAGGAATGACCTCGCTTAGAAGGAAGAACATTACCAGGATTTAGTCGAGTCCATCTACAGTGTGACCTGTGCAGTTTAATTGGTTCATTAACAAAGGTTAAAGAACGGCATTAGGCTCAGGAGCCACGGGTTGAGGACCCCTGCTTTAGGGTGAAGGTGGAGTGATATGCAGTGCGTTATATTTGGAGTTCCTTTCACTTTTTAACACCACGTTTGTTTGTTCTGTCCTCCAGATGTACAAAGGCTTCGACAAAGTGCAGCACGTGCAGCACATTTACACCAGCGCCTCAGAGAGTTCCTGTGGCGTGAAGTTCGACATCAACAAGTACCAGTACCTGATCACAGGTGAGCCAGTGATCTCAGTAAAGGACTTTGTAGCAGACCCCAGATATAATCGAAATACTGATTTAAAGTGACACCAGTTCCTTGTCCTCTATATTTACTCAAATACATGATGCATAAAGTATTGTACTTTTACAAAGTACTGTATATATTATAGAACCATTTCTTCTAGAAGCAGTACTTGTTGACGCTGACCTTACCTACTCTGTCCCTTCTCCTGTGACACTGACTATTTATATGCTTCCTTTCGCTGCTGTAGCGTCAGTTAAAAGTCGGGGTTTGAAGAGGAAACAGAACATAATCTCTTTCTCTCACAACTTGTAATTAACAGTTAGCAGGAAGTAGCTGACAGTTTCCACCACTAGTCTTTTTTTACGAGCTGCTATTTCCAACAGAGGTGTCGTTCACTCTGGACCCCGCTGTTCTCGTCGTTCATACACGACTGTTGCTAAGTCCCGACCTGTGACGACTTCAGCGACAACCAGCCGGCATTGCCAGGCAACCTCAGCAGTGTTTATGCAACCGTGCAGTGCGTGACATCACCGCCATCTCTCGCTTCTCTCCGAGCGTCTAAAATAAGTCCTGCACAGGATCAGAAGGGCGAGGGAACAATTTAAACACGGCAGCGTCCGTGAAATGAGCCGCTCCGTTCTCCTTTGATCAAACCACGAGGGCTCCGCTGCTGATTAGAATTTAAGGAGCATGTCACACACTCGACACCATGTAATAGGTCTGCGACTCCCATAATCCCACAGAGGGCGCAAGGCCCGGGCGCAGGGGTCGAAGAAGAACAGTTTGGGGAGCTGTCACATTCCTGAGACGTTTGGCTCGTGTCCAGAGAACTGGACAGAAAGCCACTTCTGTGAACTTCTGAGTTACAACTTGGCCCGTGTCCAGAGAACTAGTGGGCCACTTCTGTGAACTTCTGAGTTACAAACAGTACAACATTAAAATGGTGTGACACGTGTTAACATTTTTAATAATCGGAAATAAAGTTGTTGTTATTAAGTCTGATTTACACATTTTTGAAAATGTGAAACCATCTGTCCTGGAGCAAATAACTTTACAAAGGGAAAAATGGGGGAAAATCTTTTGGCAATTAGCTGGGTAGTCAGACATTGCTACTGTCTGCAGCGCCCCCTAGTGAATGTTTCCAACTGTGGCACAAATGGAAAAAAAAAAGAAACGAAGGAGCCCCGCCCCCCTCTTTGACCACCTCATGTTTAAAAGGCTAACAGATTCTATTTTCCCTCTGTGTCTTGTCAGGGCGAGTGTACAACGGCAAGGTTTACACCGGACTGTGCAACTTCAACGAGCAGTGGGATCGACTCTCTTTGGCTCAGAAGAAAGGCATCAACCATCGGTACCAGCTGGGCTGCAACTGCAGGGTGAGTTCAAACAGAAAACCGTTGTCCATGACGAAAAATATAATTTAAATTAAAAAGAAAAAGCTGTAAAGTCAGTGGTCAGGACCGATTCTGATCTCTGGTCAGTTGATTTCTGAGCAGCAGAGGCAGTTATTAAGTAACTGCTCTGGAGTCAGTTCAAGTCCTCATTCCAAATGTTGTATGACTCAATCCCGGAGTCTGTCACTGTGCAGCTGCCGAGCCGCCTAGTCAACGTCCCACTACTGTACCGCGGCGCCTTAGACATCTGCTAACGCCATTGGTTCCTATTGGTCTAAGAGGATTAGCAGAGAGAACCTGTTTGTTCCCAGTTTGTTCAGTGTGTACGGTGCAGTGACCACGAGCGTCCACAGGAGGCCATTAATCAGCTGGGACGTCAGCGTGGGAGCGCGTAAGAGCAGAGGGGCATAAACTTTATCACATATTGAAAATGCTCCCAGCAGTTTGCCCTCAGTGCATTCCTCCACACAGAGTAATTTACTGCACTGGAAAGCAGGAAGAATGTTACACCGGCTTAGAAAATTATTCTCCACAGATCATTAAAAACTCCAACGAGGAAGTTTTGTGGAGCATCTCTGAACCACGGAGGACAGATTATCCAGGTTTCAATAACAAAAACATACTCGAGGCCAACAGTAACCCCCAGCTCTTCAATCATCGCCGCCGCCGCTGCTACGTTCAAATTCACTGTCACTTTAGCAGCTGAGGATTTCAAAGCTTTTTTTCTTTTTTCCTCCCATTTCTTATTTGACTTCACGCAGCGTATTCATCTGTGGAGCTGCACTTTGTGTGAACACCTGGCAACTTAATGCACCGAAGAACCTCAGTGAAAGTCAAATTACATCATCAGCCTATAAAACAAAACAGCTCCAGGAAGCGTCTTCATCTGTGCTCTCTGCTGTGACACACACATTTCAATTGACTTTTTTATTTTTTTTAAATGATTCGATCATTTTTGACTGAATTCCAGTGCATTAAAACCGAGTACGTTTTTAACCAAATCTACCAACATAATTCATCTTTTTGTCAGTGACTGTCGCTGCATTTACGTCCCACAGAAATGACTCCGAATTTTCTCAAAAAGAAGCAAAACCATACGTATCTTTTACTAATGTCAGAGTTTTGTATCTTAGAAGTTTGAATGGTTGTGCTCTGAATGATGATATTATTTAACCGAAACATTACTGGTCACAAAAGAAAGCAACTGGGAAAAAAATGACCTACTGACTGAGATAACAGATACAATACTTTACTAATGGACACCTCGTCTTCGCTCCCTCCACAGATTAAAGCCTGCCGCTACCTGCCCTGCTTTGTGACATCCAAGAACGAGTGCCTATGGACGGACATGCTGTCGCACTTCGGCAACTCCGGCTACCAGTCCAGGCACTACGCCTGCATCCAACAGAAGGAGGGCTACTGCAGCTGGTACCGAGGCATGACCGCCCGCGACAAAACCATCATAAACGCCACCGACCCCTGAGTATGGACACTGCCTTGCCTGAAACCCACTGTTGCGTCCCTAACTCCGTCCCTCCCCCTGATCACCTCGCAGAGTATTTCGGGACTCTTAAAGCTGGCTGGTCTGGAGGACTGCTCCTCCTGAAGAAGCGTAAACGATAAAAGATTGAATCTATTTCTATGCCTGTTTAGTGGAACACCTTATAGAAATCAATACCTCTGTGGTTCTGCAGAGGCCCAATTAAAACGCTTCAGTGGTTCCAGTCCACTCTTCATAGATAAGAACAGCGTGCAGAGTACTATTTAGCCTTTAAATATCTTTCATTTGATTTCATTGCCTTATGCAGGATGGATAAACTCATTATAAAATTATTGTTGTCACTGCTTCGGGACGACCAAAGGAAACGCATCAGAAATTGGCCATAAAGCTATTAGCTATGGTGTAATAATAATTGGATGTAATTAGCATCTCATGATCCCCGGCAGAAATGACACCAGAAATGTTTAGCTTCAAAATGACTTAATCCTCTATAATGATTGTGTTCAGTTTTTCTGTAATCTGTCTGTCCCACGGACGGTCGTGGATTCGACCGATTATGCGAATCCCACACGGCAATTTTGCTCTCCGACCACTGACAAGAATCTGCAACAGTGCACAGTAAACGTCATGCGTTACAGCGGCACCACAGGGAGGAGCTAATTTCCCTCGGAGGTGGCGATATTTTTTTTTTTTTTTGCTGTATATAACATAAGCTAAAGAAACCTCTGTATTACATTTATTTATGGTGAATGCATTAGTGGTATTTCTGCAAAAAAAAAAAGACAGGCCAGTAGTGGCTGCGATCAAGGCCCGTCCTGAATGAAGAACCAGCATCTGCAAATTATATATCACGGTACTTTTTATGCTTGATTATAGTCGACTGGTGGTAACACTCCACCGAGTACAGTAAGAACAGAGGTTTCGGGTAAAAAAAAAAAAAGATTTATTTTGTAAGTCTATATTCAATTTTTTTATTTAACTATTTGAAATGGACATCATTATATATATACATATATATATATATATGAAAATAATGATAATATGTCACGCTCCCTTGTTTGTACACGTGGGAATGATCACGTATGTTTTTCTTGTCCTGTGCAGTACCTTCAGTCCATTCCATTACCAGACACAGATCTGCCTCACGGTGAGAAGCAGCACATTTATCACACAAATCAACGGTTCTAACACTCCAAACCAATACTGTTCTGTTCCACGGCGATGTCAACACTCATATTCATTCCATGCCGGCACAAATGTTCCAACCACGTACAACTCTCTGACGTATTCGGTGGGGGGAGTGGTTAGAGAGAATTTGTATTTGAGTATGACAATCTTCTAGTTTGAATTTACTCACAATTTTCTGACTGAAACCTGCGCCTTTTTAGTTGAACACAACACTGATTTACCAGCAGAAATTGAAGAAAAATACACACAAAGATCTTCAACAGCTCTAAGTCTCTTTTGTTTTGTTTTTATGGCCATCTGCTACACCCTAGTGTCGCATAGACAAACAAAAACAAATTATTTGCAGTAAATAAATAATAGTTTTCAGACCAATTAGGTGAAATTGGATAATTATCCATGGTCCACCTGATGATCCCTCATGGCCCACAAATGTGCCACAGCACAGTGGTTGGGAATCATAAAAGTTGACGATCAGTGAATGAAAATAACTTCATGTGGGAGAAAGTATTTCTGCTTCTATTAAAATAAAATAAAAATTCAACAAGGGCAGAAGACGTGACCAAGAGTTCTGGTCCAGAGTCACGATCAACTCCATCAGGCTCCGACAGCAGGATGGAGTTTGTCACGGCGTTTATTAGCAATGCGTCATAGCCTTATTGAACACAGTTACTGGCTTTGATACAAAGGCTGTCCCTCCCACTGTGGTAATTCTGTGTCAGTGTTTTTGTTTTGTGTTTTTGTAAATACACTGTCTGCTTAACACAGAAAGACTCGGTCAAACTTGATCCTTAAAAAAAAAAAACCCATCATGGAAGCTGTGTACAGTGTGTGTGAGGGTAGTAGTGGGTGTGGGTGGGGGGGTTCCTGGTAGGAGTTCTAGAAATGTTTGACTTAATTTCTGTGTTTTATATTTTTATAATAAAGATTAAATTAAAAAGGCCTTCTGGGAGTGTGTGCTGGGTTTTTTTTCTGTTTTGTTTTTTTAATGCCACGTCTTGTACTTTGTAGTGCTGGGTAGAAAAAAAAAAGTCTGAGTTACTCACCATCTGTGTGTGGTTGGGGTAGAAGGTCTGTTCATTCAGGGGGAATTTCTCAGGACCCAGGGAGTGGTAGAGTTTGATCATCTGAGAGAACTGCAAGTAGAAAGAACCGTGTCAGTCGTCACGTGTGCAGTGGACGACCGGAGACAAAACCTTCAGCACGTACACCTGTGCAGAACCAGGAAACGGTGAGCGAGCCAACACATCTGGGACTGGGGTGACATTATTCCTCTGGCCCTTTTAAATGCTTATAAAAATGTTCCCTCTTTCGCAGTTACAAAGAGTCTGGCCAAGGAGCTCTAAATATAGACAAGAAAAACACTTAAGGCCATAGTGTGTGAGGTCCAGTGATTTTGGTCCTAGATGGTTTGGGAACAAAAACACTATATCAGTATTTTTTTATGTTCTTATCAGAAATCAAGCAACACTAGATGAATGACTTATGGGTCGGCTTGTTGGTTTTTAGAACGCATCGCTGCTCGACTGTCCAGATACATATTATTATTATTCAAATAATAATAAGTTAGGAATTTTTTTTTTTTCAAAAATGGCTGTTTTTAAAATAGACTCTCATACTCACATACAGTAACATTCACAGCAGTTCACTCTCGTACTCACATACAGTAACATTCACAGCAGAAAAACACTGCTGTCACTGCAACTACATGTAGTCTCTTTCTGGAGTTTGGTAACCGCAGGGTTAAATTAATCTACACGACAGTGAATGTGACATTAACATGAAGTTAACACAACTGGGAAGGTTTCTCTTTTTAAGTATCTACACACAGTGCACCTGTGTATGTGCTAGTGTGAGAGCTTTAAGGATTCATTTGCAGAAACTGTTCCTGTGTATTTTTCTCAAAAAAAAAAAGTTTTTTGTAGAGAATTAAAATCTGATTCAATTGAATCAAAACAAATCATTAAAAAAGAAAAAAAACTGCAATAAAATAATTGACAAGGGTGGTTCTCAACCACTGGGTTGGGGACCAGCATCCGGCAGTCCTGGATTATTTGGTTCCAGGCTGCAAAGAAAAAGTAAAAAAAACTGCAATAAAAGAATTGACAAGGGTGGTTCTCAACCACTGGGTTGGGGTCCAGCATCCGGCAGTCCTGGATTATTTGGTTCCAGGCTGCAAAAAAAGGTAGCCACAAAAGCGGGGTGCTGCAGTTAAGGTTCGCCGTGACATCAGTGAGATGAGCCTTTGATCATAAATTCATCGTCAGTCTGTCATTTCCGACCACATGCAGAGCCAAGCACTTTTCATTCCAGTCTGGAGCGTGTTGCGATTCCGACTGAAGAGTGAGTAATAACGTGCGTTGATGTTGGAGCACCGCCGCCGCTCCACAGACAGGTGTTATCGCTCCCTTTAACGGCCCGAATAAATCAGCCGCAGGCAGCTGCAGAGGAAGAGACTCCAGTCACCCCGTGTGGGTTAAGTGCATCATTAAAAAGCGCTTACCACCCAAGGTTTGCTGCAGAAGTTGTAGATGGAGAAGAGAGAGTTGATACTTGGGACTCCACCAAAGTGCAGACCGATCACGAGGTTCCTGAAGTCCTCACCTGGGACCATGCTGTAGGCGTGCTGACGGACCAGGACAAAGTCCGGCTTAATGGACCTGCAGAAAGACGTGGACAAAAAAGATTCATCAGACAATGGGTTGTTTGAGTTCCCAAAGTGCAATGTTTTTTTACAACCTCTAAACAGTTTAAAGGTTTTGTTTAGACTTCAGAGAACCATCCTCTCTAAAAGATCCAACATCTCCAAGACAGTCTTATGTCCCAGATTTGTCTCCTGTAACAATTTGTCATTCGGGCACTTTGTGTAATTAAGGCTGCTGCTAACAATTGTTTTTACAGATGACTCATCTGGCAGTTGTAATTCATTAGTCAACCAGTCATTTGGAGCAAAGAAGCAAACAATTGTGGTAAATTCAGATGGGTGTTTCCAAACCCTCGTAATGTTGGTAGAAAGTATAAAAGATAATTATATTCATATATATATATAAATATAAGACTGACTGAAATAAACTGAACCACTGTTGTTAAAAGTCAGTTTTTATTGTCATCCACAATGTAACAGAACACACAGACACAGAACAGGTTCCTCAAGACGTTTCTTCTGAAGAAGGACTTTCTAACGACACGGTTTTGCGTTCCAACGACAGATGTTTGTGTAAAAGCACAGGAAGAATTTGATCATGTGCATCAGTCATGGACTTGAATCCATTCAGACAACATCCTGTCTACATACGGCCATCACAGCACTGACTGAACGTTCCACTACAACCAGTATTCGACAGATTGATCTTTCACCTGAGCTCAGGTCTGTCATCATCACAGCCGTGACATCCCGTCACCACCACTGTGTCTTCACCCTATTTTTAACCACACAGACTCCATCGCACATCGACGATCTGAAGTCGTTGAGTTCGAGCAGCGATCCCTGGGGAACCTAATCTTTTTGGACCATCTATCCAATTAACACAGTCTAATCCTTCCTTTACAAAACCTGTCTGGGAAACTGGCCAACTGACCCATCATGCACCTGGAGGCGACCTTTAAACCACTTACACACAGGAAATGTGTTAGGTTTGTTTTCACGCACCAATGCACCAATGACATCACAGGCTTTATGTGGAGTTTTAACACTTAATTCGGTCGGAACTTTCTCTATTTCGAATAACTGAAAAAGAAAAGTTGGAAACAAAAAAAAATGGCGACATTGTAAATGTATGCGCTTGCCTAAAACTTTTGCACATCATGATACATACCCCCAACACAGGGGAGACAGTACGATATATTACGATATATTGCGATACAATAGGCTGTTCCATCTTAACATCAGGTGACTAACATTGGAACAGAGGGATCTGTGATGTTGTCACTGGAGAAGAAATAAATGCAAAATAAAATGAACCAACTCCATGAATATTTGAATTTTGATTGTTGAGTGCTGTAGAATATCAATACAGTTTCATGGAATGAAATATAGCAATATCTCTGAGTTATCGATATTTTTTTTACCCCCCAGCGTACTGCATATATACAGTGCCGCAGGCCGCGGTGTGAATTACAGCCAGGTAATTAAACAGACCACAAGTGTAGCTGAAGTCGAACGGCACTGTCAGGACACTGGCAGGACGCCTGTACGGTGATCTGGTGGCGGCAGAGCGACTACAGCTGTTCCACTCGACCACCGTGGCGAGACACCAAAGGCTCTGCTATTTATACTAGACACAGCAAAGTCAGGCCCCGGAGCCCAGCGAGCCTCACGCTAATGTGAAACTTCAAATACTCATGAACACACACGACGGTTCACGCAGTACCCTCAGGCTAATGAGCAGCTTAGCTTGAAAGTCTAGTCCCCCTGTCATTCCTCTGAATGGCACTGCAGGATCTTATTAATACAACCACCAAACCAAGGAGGTTTCCTGTTCCATGTGAGATGGCAGCACGGACGGACCGTGGTTACAGTTTATATACAGATATAACATCACACCAGGGTATGAGCCACAAACTGATGTTTATCCAGTGCCAACAACGACGTGAAACTAAGAGACGTTAGATGTTGTATTACAATCAGGATCACGACACAGGAACAATTATTAATGAATAATAATCATTATTAATAATAATAAACAGACTAATAGTAACAAATAATAGACCATTCACCCTGTTTTTGTACAATCATTAATGATCAAAATGAAATGTCAAACATCAGCATCTAATGATTACAACGTTTTATCTCATTAATCCCAGTGTAGCTGTGAATTCATCTTGATTAATCATGATTAATCGTTATAATAATCATGCACAATTAAGCGTGATTAATCCCGATAATACAGAATTCCTTATGGCAATAAAAAAAAAATCTGTATATTGCTGGTTGTCGGTTCCACATCATAGCAGTTAGCACACCTGCCTCACAGAGTGCAGAAAGTCCTGGGTTTGATTCCCAGAGGGATCAATAAAGTTCAAAATGTATTTAATTAACTAATTAATTTACCAGAAGGACAAATCTCAGCATGTTTTAATTTACGTTGTTTTCACTCACTCCAAATCGACTGTGTATCAGAGCAACTATACATTGATGGAATTATTGGATTTAGTTTTTCTGCCCATTGAAATTCATTAACAAATGTGCTAAAGAGTTAGCCTGTGCTAACTGCTATCACCTCCTCACCAGACCCCGGTTTACGCAGGTCGTGCCCTTCAGTAACAGACCGTTACTGAGGGTCAACACCCATAAATCCTTTTTTAGTTTCTGCAAACGGACACTTTTCATTAAGAGGGCAAATGTCTCATTACTCTGCAGTGGGACATTCGTGCTTTATGATGCACAACGCTCCAGTCCTACAGACACCGCTTCTCGGGCAATATGCTAATGTAACCTTTCAACAGATTATCAGAGCGGCCGTAAAGGCTGGTAACAGGCGCTGACGGAGGGGATAAGGGGGTTTTAGATTAGGCAGCGAGGGGACAATAGGTCCACGAGGAATCATGAGGCTAATTAAGAATTGAAAAGTTAAATGTCCAGGATAGAGACGGATGTTCCAGGCAAAAGTCATCAGTCTTCACCCAAGTCATTCTCAAGGCCAGGTCCTACATTCTGTTTCTGTAGATTAGGCCAAATATCCAATAATACACACAGACAGCAGTATATAGACGTAACATTTATCGATTTTGACTTGTTTTTTCGTACATTACCATCAGAGTCAGGAGTCGACTCCAAACCCCTTGATAATATGGACAGCTTTTAGCATCTGTCAGCTGATGGTTGCGCAGTTCAGGTTTGCAGTAGTAAACAAGTACTGTAGTGTACAAACCTGACCACTGATTGTCCTTCCCAGTTCTACAGAGTATTAAATCCACTAACACTGGACTGTCAGGGTACAATTATATATAGTTTGTGGAATTTCTCAAGTTGGTGACGACCAAACGAGGATTAATTGAGAGTAAACACATCCAGGGAGCAGAGACAAAGTCAGACTGGAGTTCATTTCGTAACAAACCCTTCGGCTTAAACGTCCACAGAGACTGCACTTCAAACCTGCCAGTCCACACATACACCGCGAGTACAATAAGGCCATTGCACAATACTCCACAACCCCAAGGACATTTTCACCGTAATTCCTCAAAGAGTCCCATTCAAACCCAAGACAATACGTTACGGCCCCTCTGTGTCCAGATCCATTTATTTTACAGAATCTCTGACCTTCTAATAGGCTCCACAGGGATGTTTGAGTCGCGGGGAACATTTGTCCTCCCGACGACCCTGCGTCTGACTCAGAAGCTAAAGTAAGAGCCTTATCGTCCTCCATCAGCCTGTCTCTCAATGATAAGGATAATCGGGGCAGAATTCTGCAGGAAGGCCACAAATGTCAAACGGTACACGCTGCACATCAGCAAAAGCTTCACGCACAATGGTGCTTTGTCTGAACCGGCTGTCTGTTGACAGAGGGAAACGTACCTTAGACACAGAGGAAAAATAATAGATGGTTTGATACGTACATTAGGACAGACGTCTCAGAAAAATACAGTACACGAGTAACACACGCCGTGGAGGATGTGGTCCGTTAGTTTTCCAGAGGTAAAAGGATTGAGACATGGTCTGATTGACCTGTTTCAGAAAGTCATATAATAAATAAAACTGGAAAAAAAAATTTTTTTAATCAAAATACCCCCCCCCAAAACAAACACACAACACTGGTGCTTCTGTCATGGTTCCATCCTTGGCCTCTAAAAACAAAGCTGTTAAGTTTTTTGTTTTTGTTTTTAAATGAAGCAGAAAACAGAATGAGCTTCAAACATATTTGTAAAAAAAAAAAAAAAACCAAACAAACAGTATAGAGTATTTTTCCAAACAGCCAGTGAACCATTGTATCTAACGAAACACGAAGAACTCCATATTCTGTTTTGCTGTGCTCTCTCTGCAACCCCGGCAACAAGCTGTGGTTCCCTGGCCTAGATCTGGAACACCAAATGGTTGTGGTTCTGGTTCCAGGGGCGGTGGCTTCGGGCTGCAAATGCTTTCGGATCACCTCCAACTGACACTGCACGACAGAACTCATCTCTGCACCGCATTAAAGACTCTGGCGCAGTAGCACGGAGTATCAACGCTGCACACGAATGTGTTGAGTGAATAAACATCTGGGACCGAAGGTGAAGCAACATCTGTGCCCTGCTAAACTGGAAATGTCTCTATTTATATTCAAACACGTATATAATGATCAGACTGTCGTGATAGGCTGAACAGTTTGTCAACACGACCCTCGGGTCACAGTGTTTTTCCTTGAAATAAATGAACACATAACCCCCTCTGTGTCGACCCAGGACGGCCACCCAGACCGCCCGGTCTAAATAGAACACCAGATTTCTGCCCGCTGTAGCAGTGAGGAGGATTTCCAGGCTGCTCTGGTGTCAGACCTCTGAACTGCACCAAACAACCCCGACTCACTGAGGTCTGCTTTTGTGCTCAGTGTGTCTCCTGGGTTAAAAGAAGAAAGAAAAAGAACTATGGCATGACCATATTTTCAAAGTTCAAAGAGAAAATCCTCCCTCCCTGATGAACCATGGTGACATATCACCTCCCCGACCCCCCCGACCCCACTCATCCTACATGTGATGCTCTTTTCACTGCCCATAGTGTAAGTGCAGTGTAAAAAATACAATATTTCATTAAATATTTAAATATATTTCAGCTATACATATATTTATATATATACGCATATATATATACACACACATATATATATATTTACATATATGTGTGTGTACGTGTAAACAGTCTAGAAAAGTGGTGCCCAATAAGTGGCTCGACATCCACCAGTAGATCGCAAAGGTCATGAGCAATTAAAATAAAAATGTATATATGAATATAATTCTACAGTGTTTAGTACTGACCATATATTGTAAAACACAGAATCATATAGTGCCTACATGTACCCCACCATTTAATGCATATATAACCTATGTTAAGTTTATATGTGTACATTGTTCATTCTCTATATCGCAGTTCTCCTTTCGCTCACTCGGTACTTTTGTACTTGAGATAAGCGCCTTTGGGAACAATCGCTGGTAGCTTTGTTTACCCGGACGAAATCGTACAAAGCATACTATTGGCGTAATATAATGCGTACTACTGGCTAATTGAGCATGCTCTTCTGTTCCGCTGATTGGCTCATGCATCGTAGCATCTCCCCTTTGTCTGTCGGCCTCTCTCTCGTTCACTTGGGGGAGGTTCGTAAAGGGTAAATATTTCTCTCTCAGTTCACTTTGCTCTTCGTCGCCACTCTTTTAATATAATTGTGGGGGGAGGTTCGTAAAGGGTAAATATTTACGTAAATAATATAATAACTATCTTGCTTCTACTTCACAGTTTTTCCCATTTCGCGGTGGGTCTTGGAACGCAACTACCGTGATAGGGGAGGGATTATTATATTTATATATTTAACGTTTCCAATGTAGGTAGATCACTTTGGCCTGGTCATTTGGGTAGTATCTCCCAAGACAAAAACATGTGGAGACGCCTGGTTTAGAAGAAATGACATGATGATTGTTCATCTATAATCTATACCTTTGTTTTGCCAGTAAACCTCCTTCATAATTCACCTTTAAAAATGACATTGGAGCGGCTGAAACAGTGAAACAAGTATTGACACAGTTAGTTAGATGCCCAACAGTCATCAAAAAAAAGAAAGAAAGTTATTTATAGGGTCAGGACGGTGAAGATTGCTCTGTGGCTTATCAAGTACTGGCTGCTGTGAATCAGAACTTCAGCCAGACCAGCCATCCCCACTCTGAGCCAAGCAGCTCCCTGGAGGTTTTGGCAACACACGGTGGTGAAGCCAAAGGGCTGACTACAGCACTGAGGCTGGGACAATGTGCCATAACTACTGTACTCCGTTGCCTGTTGCTCTGCAGCACTGTATGCTGTACAGAATGTGCCACGTCGCACATCGAAAACTCAGCCTTTTTTTTTTTACTCTTTTTATGTACCAATAACAGCAGAAACTTAGTCAACAGACTCGTCATCTTGATCTGTTTTAAAAAAAAATTGTGTATACTGTAAAGTGGTATTTGCCTGCAATAAAAAAAACGATTTTTTTGTATACTGTAAAGCGGTATTTGCCTGCAATAAAAAAAACGATCTGCCTCACTGTGTACTTTACTGTATATTTAAAACAAAACAACATAGTGTTATTGTCTTCTCTTAATAACTGGGCTGGAGCCTACACAAACTGGATCCACGGTGAAGTCTGATTTGCTTTCTGCTCGACCACATGTAGATACTCACTAAAATGTAAAGTACACATTAATACACATGGGCTCTAAGCTCTGAGACCCTATCCAAATCTTTCTCCAGGTTCAAGTGGATATGTTGATTTTGGACAGAAACTGAAGAGTGTAGTAGTACACCTGGGACGGAGTAGTCTGTAGTTTTCAGTTTTATTAGCTCTGCTTCACCCAAAAAAAACAAAACATCATTTCTTTTTAAGGAGAAGCATCTTCACGACACCCCGACTGCACCAGGACGATTTTGTTACTGCAACTCGGTGAAACAGACAATAGAAATTAATTCACCCTTTAATCCAATTTACAACGTGTCCTCGGAGCACGCCTGCGGACGCGGAGGTCACGCAGGTCACGCCACTGTGAGCACACCAGCAGGGCGAGCATATGGAAATGCAGGGTTGTGTTTTAAAAAACACAGGCTGAATGTGTCTGCATGAACGCATCTGTGCACAAGCGCAACATTAGCAAATGATTAAACTGAAAAACTCCAGGGATGAGATGAAAAGAAGAGGAAGCACAACAAACACAGCCAACTTTGAAAGTCTGAACTTGTGACTTTTACACTTACAGGACAGTCTTTCACAGCACATTAAGTATTATTACACGGCACAGATGAAGCTAATTATGTTTTTTTTGTTTGTTTTTTGTTTTAGTTTCTTCATGTGGAGGATGTTCTGATTATGCACCAGAGCGTGAATTAAATGGATAAAGGAAGAGTTTGAAAGCAGTCGAGTGTAGCCTGCTGACAGATTAGTTCTTCACAATTAATCGTGAATAACTACGATTATTCTCAAATAATTAGGGCTAATCATGAATAATCATGAATAATTAATCAGTCATGAATAGTTACAAACAATCATGATTAATTATGAACAATAACGACTAATCATGATTAATCATGAACGATAACGACTAATCATGACTACTCATGAATGATAAGGACTAATCATGATTAATCCAGAGCTGCACAGATTTTTGATGACTAGTTCTGATATTTTTCTATTACTCATGATTTGATGACTAGTTCTGATATTTTTCTAAGATCTATCCTGTAAACCCAAGTTCAACCCAAGTAGTTAAATTAAATTATTAAGAAAAAAATATTTTTTCAAAAAAACTTTTTTTTATTTGTTTATTATTAATAAAAGCTAAGAAATACGGATGGGACCCAGCACTGGATGTAAAAAAAAATCTCACAGTGTTTCGTATTATACTGACTCAAACTCAGAGTCATGAACACGACTCGCCAAACCGCAGCCCTCTGGCAGCGAGCTCCAGCGATTGTGAACAGAGCAGCAGTCACACCATCTGCATTCAGTTGTACTTTTGTCATTACAGCAGTGGGGCCAAAAATATTCTGAGCGCACAATAACCCCTGTGTAAGTGGTTGATAACAGGTTGTATTGTTGTGAGAGCCGCAGCGCAGCCCAGGCCTGGGATTATTCACTCTTGATTCCACTGATAAGAAAGTTGTGTTGCAAGTCTGACCGTGGAGCCGAAGATAGCGCGCAGATTGGAAAATAATTGTCCAAACATCTCAAAATGAGGTCCAACAATGGAAGGCATGCAGGCTGTTAACTAATCTGATTGACCAATCAGGTTACTCATCAAACTGGAGGAGCAGAGCCAGGCGATCTCAGGCTACTGTGGCTATAAAAACACCAAACTGCCCCCCCCAAAAACAGTACTTTCTTATCATATTTATATATTATTAACCAATTACTCTATATGAAGTTATCCTATATTACAGGATTTACTTTGAGACAGTTGCAGTTATGTTTTAACCACACATTATTCTGGACTGTTATGATTCATTATGAGTTATATTTTGTTTTTTCATATTAATAATTCCATTTGGATTAGTCACAAATAAAAACAGGCGTGAAACACATTTATTTACCTGCTGTTATTTTGTCTTTGTTCTAGCAATATATATAAAAAAAAATGTATATTGCTATCACAATTATAACATGAAAAATAATCGTGACTTTTGCTCACGATGGCATCACCTACGTCTAGAAGAAGTTCACATCGTCTCTGAAAACACGCTGCGTAAGACGGACTTTGTACTGACGTCAACTCAGATACGGCACCATAGAAGAAGAACCATCGTCTCTGAAAACACGCTGCCTAAGACGGACTTTGTACTGACGTCAACTGCCATGTCTATAAGGTGAAAAGCCAGAGTGTGATCTCATCATCTTTACCACCCAGATCAGCTGACAGTCCGTAACCCAGGCAGTGTCACCACACCTTACAGAGTGGTCTATTTAAACACACGTACACACAGTATCATTTTGTTTTTTCATATTAATAATTACATTGGGATTAGTCACAAATAAAAACAGGCCTGAAACACATTTATTTACCTGCTGTTATTTTGTCTTTGTTCTAGCAATATATATAAAAAAAATTGTATATTGCTATCACAATTATAACATGAAAAATAATCGTGACTTTTGCTCACGATGGCATCACCTACGTCTACAGATACGGCACCATAGAAGAAGAACCATCGTCTCTGAAAACACGCTGCCTAAGACGGACTTTGTACTGACGTCAACTGCCGTGTCTATAAGGTGAAAAGCCAGAGTGTGATCTCATCATCTTTACCACCCAGATCAGCTGACAGTCCGTAACCCTGGCAGTGTCACCACATCTATTTAAACACACGTACACACAGTATCTGCTGCAACAGCCTTCTCTGACCAGATGCCTCCTCCTCCTCCTCCTCCTCCTCTTCATAATGAAAGGTAGAAATGTTGCTCTTTTTACCACGACTCTCACAGAACTCCTTTGATTTCTTTGAGTTCAGACAACGTTACATGGCAAAACAGAGTGGATCTGTTCTGTTAGCAGACTGGGTGGGCGACCGTGACAAAGGAATGAAGGACTCACCTGACCACTTTAGTTCCACCTTTGTTGACCTGCATGTCCACCATACATCCCGAGGTGACGTAAGAGGCCAGGTTGATCTCCGAGAATTCGGCCTGGAAAAAAACAAAACAAACAAACAGAGAAATACAAACATTAGATGAAGAAGTTTGTGTGTGTTTTTTTTTTTTATTGGCTGAATAAAAATAATAATATTAAGTGTTATGATTGGAATGGTATCTACATAATTTCACTCTCTTTCCTAATTCTTAATAAGCTGATGCCCAAAGACAGGGGTCAAAAAGAACGGGTGAGATTCAGTGGGGGACAAATTGAGTTTCCCCCCCACTCTGTGGCCTCACAGGCAGCCGGGGCCCTGTGAAAGGCCGTAACCCAGCTACCTAATGACTCAGTCAAACTCTTACTCAAGACCCCCCCTCCCCTTAGGGGGTGACGGCTACGCCTGACTTCTGAGAACAGAAGGGTAAAAGGGAGTTGGACTGTTTTCCAGTTTTCCGGACAATTCCCTCATGAGATCAAAGTTCTTGTTTGTATAAATTTTTTCAATAATGAAATTCAATATTTTAATGCGTTTTATTTTTAAACTTTAAGAAAAATAAATATGACTCGTAAAATAATAACCAGGGCCAAACGATGGTCAGCTCGTGTCACAGCCAACGCCTCCATCCCTAGTTTGCACGTTCTCCCTGAACATTTTTGGGTTTTCTCCAGGTACTAGACACTACATCAAATATACAGTACTCCGTATGAGTATGTGTAAGGCCCTAAACATGTCTCATGCAGGTCACCCACTATAAACACCAATATATGTATATGTGGAAGGATGTATTTTTATCATCTGACCCCACAGTCAACCCATTTCCTGTGTTTTCCTAGCACGTTAAGACAGTTACTATCTACGCTTTCTCACACTGCCATCGTTGAGACTTTAAGCCCGCTTTAGCTGCCTTTTTATGGGCTTTCCATATCCATAAAAAGGAAATATTATCAGCAATATTCCTGCGGAGATTAATTCCCTTTCATCTCAAAGTGCTGTGGCCCATGTAAAATCAGTGAGGGGGGAGTGAGGGGGGGGGCATCTACTGGAAAGAATGCACCAACGTAATAAAAATGGTTTTGTTTTTTTGCCAAGTACAGAAAAAAAGACAGCAACCTCTTTATTTATTGTGTTGCGCTCCCAGAGGAAGAGGAAGAGGAAGAGCAGGGTGAGTAAAAACTGTAATCTTATTTACGGGAGAACAAGGCGTCACTTAAACTCAACGTGCCTCAAGGACGCGCACTTGGCTCACTTCCGCTTAAGGGTTTGTCTCTTCGTTTATCCAAGCCTCGGCAAAACTGACACACTCGAAGAAACAAACAACACCAAAACACACACACGTAAACCATCACCGTGACGACTTCAGAAATGACGACTGTAGCCGACTGTTGCTACGACCTAATTGGTAAAGGGTGCCGTTTATGTCAAGGGTCAAGAAGTCTGATTGGTTGGTTGTAGGCAAGAGCTGTAGCTTAGAGTCAACGTCTTTGGGCAGTAACGGATAAAGTGTGTCGCGATTCAGCCCAGACGCAACGTCTCTGGTGTAGAACCCCAGGGTTCACCTCCTGGGGAAGATCGAATCCCGGTTAGGGCGGTTGGTACCTTCCAGTGGACTCACCACCAGCAGGAAGGTTCAGGGGGGGTTTGGTATGGTGCAGTGTGATTTGGGTGGAGACTGCTGCCCCCGCGACCTCGTAACGGATAAGCGGATGAAAATGGATGGTTGGATGGATGGATGGATGGATGGATGAAGTGTTGGGTGAAGAGCACAGGACCAAACGCTAAGCCATGAGGTCTTCAGCGGTGCCATGGTTACCATGCGGGTAACATATTCAGACACTTGTCATCATGGCGCTCCATCCATGGAAAGCAAAACAGGAAGTGAAAAAAAGAAGAAGTGAAACTAGAGCCAATTTAATCCCATTGCCGACCTGTAGGGCTTCACTTCTTCTTCTCACAGTTTAAGGTGACACTACACTGGTTAAAGATGTCATTCATTTGGTTGTAAAGTTCCTCGCACTATTGTCCAAAAGTTTGAAGACAGATCTAACTTTAATAATTAGGACAAGATACTACATAAAAAAATATGATATTCAGGATTTTTTAATCTATCATAAATCAAACATTGTCAAAATAGTTTTGCAATATTTTGCTTCTTTTCATGATTGTGACCAGGTGCAAAGGACATCCCTCGATATTCTACAAAGAATTATTTTTTGTATTGCCATTATAGGACATTAAATGACAACCACAGAGGTTGTGAACAGTCAGAACTTTCCTCTTCTTCTTCCACTGATGCCACCTTAGACTGACCTAGAAATTTTCATAAGACCTGGAGAAAAGCCCTTTGCACGAGTCTCACTTATCGCTGCAGAACAGCCGACAGTCTGTGCAGACTGCCAAGCTGCGTGAACCTGCGTATGGTTGAGAGTCGCTCATCTGGAATCTGTGATTATTTTTAGATGTGAATCTGACCGTTTCACCCCAGGTTCATTTGGCTGTGAAGCTTTTTGTTTGATCTCAAGTCAAAGAGTAAACAGGATCTTCTCTCTCAAAAAAACGAAAAAAACGAAAAAAACAAAACGACCACAGGTTTTGCAGTGGCCAGGTAACCTGGTAAAGTACTGTATGGAGTATATGTACCAGGATTTAAATGAGCTGAAACCAGAAACATGTACTGACTGTAAACATCTGTAGTCAGTTTGGAGCTTTAAGCCTTGAATCCTTTGGTCATTTTGAGCTAAAGAAGCTGAACTAATTGTTTCAGGATAGTGGCTAATACTAAAAAAAACAAGAAAAAAAACATTTTTTTCGGATGCGGGAGCAAAAGAAACCGGTATTGAATATGTACTACCCTTTCGGATGCGGGAGCAAGAGAAACCGGTATTGAATATGTACTACCCAAAGACAATGTGCATTTCTAGATTTTTTCTTCTGTCAAATGTCATGTCATGACCTCTGACATGGGCCACATGCCAGTTGGTGTGTCACAAGCTTTGGCTGTTGGACTGTTTTTTTCCAGTAGCCACAATGCCTCCACAAAAAGCCATTTTTGGGGTACAAAAGGCTCTGCATGTAAGTGGTATTTATTTTATCCAGTCGGCGTGACTCACATTCAGTTCCTCATACAGCAAATATGTCTGAGTGCATTAAGGTTGGCGCTGTGGTCATGAAATGATGCCTTTTTTCCTGCAAGTATAATTGTCAGCTCACAGTAGAAATGCCACATGAAACATGGTATGACTGAGTGTTTGTTGTACTTCCACTTAAAAATATTACCAGAGTGGCAGAAAAGTACATTATAGCGGTGCACACAACACAAGTTCACAACAACAACAAAGTTCATTCATAATTTTCAGCCTAATCCTTCGCAGAATCCCAGCTGTCAATGGGCATGAAGGGCGACATGCGACAGTTAGCCAAGAAATTATTTTGAAATTTGAGATCTAAGTTATTCAAGATAAAAAAATGTATTCCACTCATCCACTCATCGCTGGTGTTTTATTTTAAGCTGTGATTTTTTTTTTTGTCAAAACTGTTGGAACTATTTCAATATAGTGTAAAAGATGTACAAGCTATTGTGACGCTGTTCCGTTTTCAAAAGGGGAACAGTCCAGAGGAAAGACACTGTTGTTGACAATGTCAGACTGTTTAAGTAACCGCCTGATAAAGTCTGGGGACTAATGGAGAGACGTGAAGTACAGTGGTCCATTCACACTCACTAATCACTCCCACCTTGTTAAACAGTGAAATAATCCATTGAAACCTTAAATGCTGAAATGTAAGACAGATGCTGAACGCAACAGTCATGGCGGCAGCTGTGTCCGTCACATGTCCCGACCTGCTTTTACCCAGAAGCCCAGTATCAGAAGGGGGTGGGGGTTCATGCCAAGAAAAGGGTACAGATAACATACAGTACAACCAACTGCCTGTGGGCTGCCATGACTGCAGCAGCGCGGCCTGTGGACAGCGCTGAGGTCATGCGCCTGTTGAGCAGATGTTGCCCTGCACGACCCAAAAACCACACATGGTACAGCGCAGCCCAAGAACTGGCCCTTGTTCTTTTACAAACAACAGACGCTTTTCATATTTAATTGCCTAATTTGTCCAGTTTTGAAAATTACAGCATTTATTCCTAAGTGAAATAAGTAAATGGACATGGACCATTAGCAGTCCTTTGTTGGCGTTACGTGAACGTAATCGACTTTGACTGAAGATGTGATGCCAATGTTTTTTTCTTCCTCACTTTACAAAAATCATCAGAGGGTGAATAGATTTGTCATACTCAGTAGTATTTTGGACATTTTGTACTCTTTTTGTCTTTCTATCTGTTGGTTCAGAGGATACAAATTGGTGGATCGCAGCCCAAATGTGAATCCAGACACAGACCTGAACCTGTAACTGATCAAATACCAAATTTTGTCAAAGGTCGTCTAAAGATTCTCGTTTTAACTGGTGACGTTTTTTTTTTTTAGATCTTTACAGTGAAAACGCAACGTTCCTCTTCTCATGTGACATGAATTAGCCAATCAGATGAGTGCATTCACAGAGACGAGATGGAGGAGAGGAAGGGAGGAGAGGAGAGGAGAGCATAATGGTCCTCCCTGTTTTTATTTTCATTCCTTAAAAGGATTCATCTCAGCATGAAGCTACATGTTCACACAGAGATTGGGTTTCCATCTCCCTAAAGCACTCAGCAAGGTGTACAAACAGACTCTGACGTGTCCGGCTGCAGAGGGCAATTAGCAAAGCTTTTGTTCTGTGCTGATGGCTGTGAGGTTTGACCATAACGGAGCAACAGGTCGGGACACGACTGGGTAAAATGTCATCAGTGAGAGGCGACCCTCTCTCGGACCACCGGCCCTCAGACGGAGGATGTGACCACAACAATAAAACAAACATCCAGACAAGCTCTCTGTGTGTTACCTTCTTCCTCCTTCTATTAAATGTTATCACGTTGTTTGTTGCTGCTATATATTTATATATATGTGTACTCTGTGCATATATTTATAATATATTTTTATATATTTATATATGTGTACTCTGTGTATATATTTATAATATATTTATATATATATGTGTACTCTGTGTATATATTTATAATATATTTTTATATATTTATATACACATATATATCCATGTTATACGTATATTTATATTGACATACACACATACATACACATAGACATATACTGTATATATACATAAAAGTAAATTTTTTTTTTTAAATGTGGGTTTTATAGATACTATAATATACATATATATGTATATATACAAACATTCATACATATATGTTGGTTTGTTTTGTTTTTTAATGAAACACATACCTGCTCCACCCGGATCTCGTACTCTCCGTTCAACTTCTTTCCTCTGAAATATTTGGCCCTGCAGATAAGAGGAGACACTTTTAGAGAAAATTACCAATAACAAAGAAACAACATTTAAAAAAAAATAACAACCAGATAATATGCAAATGAGTTTATGTGAAAATGTGCATATGATTGGTTGTGTAGGAGAATTAAACAGTAATCTTGTTAGTTTTTTTTTTTTTGAGGTTTGTAGATATTTCACATTCAAAAAAGGAGCCATAGATTGAACCACGTCACAGTGTGTTTATGCAGGTTTCTATTAAAAATGAAGGTTTAATGATGAAGAAATTTGTCTGGACTCACTAACACGATGGTTTGGCAGCGTCATGGGAATTGAACCGACATCCCTGCTGTACTGTTGGTTTTTAGACGACCTTCCACACACACACACACACAGCGTTTTATTGCCGTGTATTTTTTGCTCACTTTGTGCTGCGCTGCTGTAAACTGTCAGTCCTCAGTCAACAGTCTGCTGCAGACCACATGCTGGCGCTGTGTTTAATTTTGTGCACATTCTTGAGGCTTTCACTTTACTAAACCAACCTGGTGTTTTTGAACACCACACCACAGTGCGTTTCTCTTTTCTCACAGCCCTGGCCTAAACAAAGCCTCGTTTCTGTCCCAGCGTCTGTCTCCTTGTTTTAAATCCCCTACATCATCCTTTAAGGTCCACTTCATTATCATCCATTATAGTCACACACGTGGATCTCCGAGCTAACGTCTCACAGCTGTTGGCCTTAAGTTCTGCTCCCTCGCCGTCTCGTTCCCTGTAATTTTGGAAGCTGTGAATCTTCAGCACGGCTGACCTACATACCCGGGAGGCGATGCCCCCTCTCACCCCGGACCACCACCAGCATCCACCGTACAGTGTGAGCCAAGGGCTCCCAGGCTCAGTGCCTAAAAATGTATGGCACGCGTTTCTGTGTATTGCACAACACGTCGTCACTCAGGGTGATTGATCTAATTTACAGGCTGCCTGGTTTTAACGTGTTTCAACGTAAACAGACTGATCCAGAAAGAGGTCTGGGGTTTCTGTGAACACAGCCACTAAACAAACAGTGTGACGCACAACTCTTTTTTTACGTTCTGACAAAGAAAATATGCTCTTTTTTTCTATGTACATGTATTGGAAACCGTACAGAAATGGGCCTCTAATGGCAGCCCACGGGCCAGATACAGACCGCAGCCTGACTATTTGACCAGAGAGATGAAAAAAAGGTGAATTTCTTCTTCATATTTTAGTTTGGCTAGCATGTGTAAAGTCATCTCCACCGTAGTATTTGAGGTTTTACTTTATTCTTTCTTTGCATACCTCATCTTTAGGTTAGACTTAACTTGATTTGAGGCTTTGTCAAACTCTTGTCAAAGCGTTTAGTGAACAATAGCAAGTATAACCTTTCTTTTTTCATATATAAAATTTCACTTATTTACTTTTGTCTCTTGCTACAACAGGAAGTATTCTTGTTGGTTTTGTTTTAAAAATGTTGACAATTAATGCAACTTTAATCCCCGTTCAGCTGAGCAGAGCTCGTCGTCGTTACTGAGGAAACGCCGAAGGAAGTCGAGCCTCTGCCAGAGCGGATATAAAGTGAGTCATCAGATGCTCGTACGTTTCTTTTTCGGACACAGGGCTAACAGACAGACAGCTCCTTGGCCAAATTTCTCACACGGCAGCTCAAGATTGAGGGGACAGAGTGAGTGAGGAAAAAAGGAGGGACTGTTGGGCATGACGGTGATGTTCTCTCAGGCTTCGCCTCGGTGTTGTGTGCTGCTCTTTGTGTATCAGTCTTTGCTGGACGCCAGGCTTGGACCAAGACCAGGACGCAGTTTCCACAGAGACCTCAGTCTCTCTACTGGAATTCCTAAAAGGAGATTTAACCCAAATACAGGAGATGATGGAAGGACAGGCCTCATCTTCATCGTCTCTAATGTGAAGTCGTGCAAAAGTTTCAGACGGCTAAATAAATTCACTCTCATCCCTCGTTCCCACAACCACCTGAAGCATTTTAATAATGAATATAAGAGCTCTTGCAGATAGGGATACAAAATATATTTTTATAATATATATTTCAAAATGAATATTTTTTTAAAACCTTGCAGAGCACAGGTAAGTCCTGGGTTTGATTTCCAGAGGAACCATTTTTTTTAAACCTTGCAGAGCACAGGTAAGTCCAGAGGAACCAAATATTTGGCGCATGGAAGTAGAAAGACATGTCAATCCTTCAAGGTTTCAGACATTACCACAAACCGTCTGTAATTTCTGTTGATGCCACTAGATGGTGGCAGACATCAAATGTGCCAAATTATCTTTGAAAGTTTAGGTCTATTCTTGTGCATTTTATTTTAATGATTTCGCCCACCACTCCAAATTTTGAACCTCATTTTGGCCCATGAGCCCAAAAGTGTGCCTACCCCAGATTTAGAGAGCCAGTCATTCAGACCACAAAGAATCACATCTGGAATCGCTGCAAAGTCATAAAATAAATTACAACTCTGGCCCGTGTGGCTGAACATTGTGATCTCCACATTTTCCTTTTTAAGAAATCTTGAGCGCAGATTTCAACCAGAGCAGCAGATTTTTGTTATGGCACCAGCTCGGCAACAACTCACAAAAGCAGTTTTTTTTTTTTACGTGGCCTTAAAAGCTGCAAGAGCGGAGACTGGAAATAAAAACCAGGCTGTTACAGCACCGTGACACCAGACAAGTTGCCAAAGCAGCAGCCAAACATTTGGTCTTTTTTAAAAGCTGTTGTTTTCTCAGATGGCTGAGCGTTAACTGCTCACCCACTGCTACTGAACGCTACACCTGTATTTTTGTTTTCTAACAACAGCCTCTGAAACTCACTCACATTTTTATCCAAACTGTCAGAGTCTGGCTGTTAACACAACAGTGGCTTTATCACAGGTTTTAACAAAGTCTGCAGAAGTTTTAATGTAGACATCACCCATAATGTTACAATTTTATTATGGCTTACATTAACTGTTAGCAAAGTAGGTACACATTATAAAAGACAATCCATGAATTTTATCGCCTCAGTAAAGGATGTTTTATTTTGAAAACTTGCCCGATCAAACTGCTCTTCACGTAATGTGGAGAGTCTTGTCAAAATAAAAGTCTTTTTTGAATTTGTTTTAATATTGGGCTTTTGTTGATGCAGCTTGATGACCAATTTGTGAAAGTGTAAATTAAAATATTTTAAGAGTTTTTTTTTTACTGTCTCGTCCACCTGCAACGGGCTACAGTTTATTTTAACTGTCGAGACACATTTTCGCCAAATTACGTAAACATTTTTTACTCGATTTTCACGGACTATATACTATTCACTAATCTGCATCAAGCTTTTTTATATTTTCTTACATATTATTATATATTGTTTATTGAGTAATGTAATAAAATGGACGAACGATTTAAATATGTGTCAGAAAATCTGTTTTCAGCTCGACTTTGAGAGACAGTTGTGCTTTAATTTGAAAAACAGATCTGTTCCTGGTGACAGGTCTGTGAGCTTTGACGTAAGATGTTATCAGACATCACCACCTGCTGGTCAAATACGTTCACTGTCTCTCAGAAATAAAACAATATTAACTGCTAAAGCTTGGACTACATTACAGTGCCGCCAGGCGGATACAAAGAGAACAAGCCACGTAATACATAAAACGAATCATACCTCATCTATGTAATACGTTTTCACAAAAAGATAAATAGGGCAGCGGTATGCCGGGTATGAAAAAAAAATTACTCACCAAACATTCTGATGAAAAATCCCTCCTCCTCACTTTCATTACTCTGTTGTACAGATTACCCGTGAGTTTTAGTTCGAACAACAACTGTTTCTTATTGACATCCAGTCTAACGATTAAAGTCTAGTCTGTCCTGTCGTCTTTATGGCCTTAGTTTTATTTCGCTTTAGGTTGAGAATGTCCGTTCGACAAAAGAGAAACGTAGAGAAAACTTTATTTTCGCGCGTACAAAAAAATCGCTATAGATACAGTTTGGTAGATTCGACACGTTCTTTGACCATCCAATCAAATGACTCAAATCGCCAACGTCACCGTGGGCCTGTCAGAAGGCCCCCTGGTGTTACCAAGCGAAAATCTTGTTTGTTTTTAAAGAATCTCATTTTAGGCGCCAACGGTGCTGATTCAAAGAGCTGAGGGCAGATTTCTTTCACCTTGGCAACACGTGAAGCTGAAATATGATTGGATAAAAACACTCGAGTACAGTATACACGACTGGCATCTGCGAGAAAAAGAGAGAAAAGCTGAGAACGAGAACAGACCACTCTGTGTGTAAAGAATTATAACGTGTGTTGACAAATTAAATACAATCCGTTTTCTGACAAATTTCAAGGACTGACTTGATAATTATTTAAAAAAATAAAAATTTAAAACAACCATTTTTTAACTGTAGTTTCACGATTTGATTTCCTTCCCTTGCATTACATTTTCTTACATCCTCAAAGAGGAAACTTTTTTTATGAAATGACAACTATCTTCCGTTGTGAATTGTTATGTTAAACATAACAGTAGAGTCTATTTTATATTTAAAAAAAGACCTTTTCTGCACATAAAAACTTTTTTTTAAATAAGAGAGAAAATTTTAAATGAAGTAATAAAAATGAAATTAACAACTATGAAAATAAATCTTCCTCTGATTAATTTACTTAAAAAGCACCAGGCCACTTTGTAAAAACGTGTCTCTATTCTCTCTGTGCAGCGACTAAGTGTAGTTTTGGTGAACAACAACTCTTGCTGTGGTCTCAGGAGGGGTTGATGGTCCCTTGGCGAAAGTGCCAATGAGCCTGGACGCCCAGGAGGGGGCAGAACCCCTGATGACTTGATGTGAAAATAAATGGGTCCATTTAGGATTACACCAAAGCGTCTGTAGAGAAACAGGCTGCCAGGCTCGCTGAAAGTTTAGCAGCAAATGCTCGCCGCCTTTTTCTGAGCTGTCAGCAATGCACTTTAATACAGCGATCATTTTTAGAACCTCCGCCTCATCGCCCCCTGCAGAGCCTCAGATACAGATGCCTCGCCACATAATGATCCCCGCTAATTCTGCAGACAGATTGAAGGGGCTGCAAATAGCTAATAACAGCTTTGCCACGGTTCATTTGCCTCCAAATGTCAGGAAGCAGAATAACAATTTATGAGTCGGAGGAGAGGATTATTGATTAGGGTATGACAAACGGGAACTGCAGGATATCTTGACGGCAGCTCTATATCAAGTCGGCCGCAGCTAAAAGGTAGGAGAGTATCAACCTGTAACAGGTACAGGGCTGTGGATGAAAGATGAGGCCGTACACTCCTGTTAATGCACATTTACTTTTTTTTCTGTCGTCTTCAAAGCAGAGGGGCCTCCGTCTGGTTGCCATGACAATTTCTGCGCCAACACAAAAGCCACTGAAGCCAAGGACATACAACAAAGTGTCTCGCACCTTTGAAAATTTATTTCATCATATTCATAAGTCTGCTCTCCTGAATTAGCTGTTCGGGTCAGAACAACATCTTTGTATTTGTTATCCTCCATCAAACTTCATTTCATTCTGATCTGTAAACGTATTTACTGCAAATAATTTCTCTTTGATTGTCTATGCAGCAGGAAGGATAATTAAATTCTCCTCCACTGGGTAGCAGCAAAAGGCTGTAAACTGAAAAACAAATCCGTTGAAGATCGAAGCTTGTCTTTCTTCAATTCCTGCAAGTATTTCAGTGTTATGTTCAACTAAACAGGCCCAGGTTTCCTACTAAGTACATTTTGTTTACTTAGTATAATTCCTTAGAGGGTCAGAAGAGAGGGGGTGAGGGTGAGGGCGGGGTAAACCCTGGGTGTTTGCCAGTCCATAGTGTGACATTTGAAATATATTTAACACCTACTTCATATTTGTATTAATATATATATTGGTAGAGTCATCTCATGATTGTTTTATAATCTTCAGACACCTACTGTACAGTCTCCCACTCCCACCCCACATACACCCGTTACCGTCAAACTTGCACTCACCATTCTGTGTGCTGATCATCAATCACCAGCAGGATCTTGGGCTTGCGTACGACAGGCTTGGCCGGCTGACTGTTTCCTGCAGCGGAGCCGTCAGCTGAAGCAGCTGCGGCCGACTTGGCGTGTGCCGCGGCGGCGACGTTCTGGGCCATCTGAGCGCTCTTCACCACGCTGGAGAAGGAGCTCAGAAAGCTCCCTGTGCCCGCAGCAGAGCCCGTACCTGAGCCGGTCGCTGACCTGGAGCCCTGGCTCTGGGTCTGGCTCTGGGTCGGGGTCGGGGTCTGGCTCGGGACGGTCGGCGGCTGCCGCCTCTCTGTGGCAGGAGAGGCAGGAGAGGAAGTGGACGAACCTGGAGGGGTCGGCCTCTGCAGGTCCATCATGTACCCATTGGGGAGGTTGGCCACAAAGCTACTGTCTGACAGGCGCCGGCGAAGGTAGTTCATGGTGAAGGGCTGGTGGGTCAGTCAGGCCGAAGCAGATACAAGGGAAGAACAGCTGGAATCCTGCACAAAAAACAATTCATGAGAACGTAAGGTTCAACTGTCACATATACTGTAGGTGGGTATGCAGTATTGACAAATATATTTGAATATTCTACTATATTTGGGATGCTAATATAGCTTTATACTTGTCTACATTTATTTAAAGGTATTTCCATTTTAACTGAACTAAAAATATGTGTGCAAATAGCCAAAATAATGTCTATAGATTGACTGTGTATTAGAACAACAATATATATAATCTTAATATACATATAAATATATGCATATTACATAAATACGTACATACATATACATAAATACACATAAACATACAGTACACACATATATGTCTATATATATTTATATACAGTATATGTTATATATATGGTATATTTATTCTCCACACAACCAGCTCCCTCTTACATCAGACTTTAAGGTGTAATCTCTATCGCTAATACACACTGCAGAGAGACAACAAAGAGTGGCGATTACAGTCACACAACCACTGATTGGTCGCTCAGTCTTGTTTGTAAAGACGTCATCTGGTTGGACAGATAAGGACCTGTGTCTTGAAAATCACTATCTTTAACCCACTGGCTTTTTTTCCCGCCACTTTCCCGTTATCGTACAAGCTGCTATTACACTGTGCTCGAGTACATTGGCAGCCATTAAATTCTCATATAGGCCTTTCACTTCCACTGCAGTGATTCACTTTACAACGTGCACATGCAGTACAACCAGCAGGGTGAGAAACGGCTCACTGCTCACCTGGTAGTAAACACTGAGGTAAGACGATGTCATTACAAACATTCTTTACATTTTACTTCTGTTATATAATCTTTATGGGAGAAATGGGGGCGAGGGGGAGGTTCGGGGGGAGTTACGGTGTAACACAACACTGAGGATGTACCGCACTTTGATAACAGTAACCCACATCCTCGATGTGGGTCTAGTACGACGCAGTATCAGGACAACAATCAGAACCGTAGCGGTGGGATTATATATTGGACCCCTGTTGATGTACACCACGTTTTCTTTTATTTATTTTTTATTTTGCAGTGATTTAACAATTGGAACACAGATCACAGAGGAAGTGGCAGAACGCAGCTCAGTCACGTCGGATTTTGTTTTTCCACATTCTCACTGCAAATCTGTTAAATCTACCACGTCTTCTGGACAACAATTCTGTGATTTTTCACAAGAGCTTGACTAATTATGGAGACGAAGCTGCCCTACCCCCCCCCCCCACCTTATCCCCAACACATTATGTAACATTTGAACATGTATTTACAAATGTTCCATGGATACACTGAACAGATGGCTATTTTTTTATATAAACTGGGCATAAAATGTATGATTTTTTTTTAATGCAAAGAAGAATTCAAAGTCAAAGTCAAACACACGAGAACGAGTGTGAAAGATTAAAAACTCAACTGAAAAAGGACTATTTGGTCTTTGCTGTTCTTGTCAAAGAACAACTTCTGTAAAACATGTAAAACACAACAATAAAAGACAGATTTTATCAACACAAACCACAGAAAGAAAGATCCCAAAAACCAGTGGTAGTACCGCACACAAGGATTTGGACTTTTTTTTTTTTTACCATCGCATGCCCTTCCTGCCACAACCTAACCCTGGCCACTGAGTTGTACCAAACTACACTTGTATCCACCGTATCCTCCGAACCCAAAGGCAAGGTCACGGGGTCTCTGACTCTTTGTGAAGAAGGAGAAGAAGAAGAAAGTCATCCATGAACCGTGAACCTTGGATGACTGCAGCGACAGTGTGACACTACAGCCCACTGTGAGATAGTCTGCGGCAGCGAGGAGCTGGTGAGGCGAGGAGTCACGGCCCAGTCTCCTCACACACACACACACACACACACACACACTCCCTCCTCATCTCAGCTCCTCTCTGCAGACCCACAAACACAAAGACACCGTCCGACTCCAGACCTCTGAACAGTCCACGTTCGATTGAACGGTTCTGCATCGTGAGAAGTTCTCTTAAGAAAAAGGCATTTCACGGCAAAAGGAAAACAAATATGTCTGTATTAAAATAAAATGATACGGTTCTCACGTTAAATATATAATTACTTTAAATATATATATCACATTAAATATATATTATGTATATATATAAAACAGAACTAGGGATTCATTTAATAATTATAACTTTTAGCATAGTCGAAACAGAAAGTGAGCAGAGCTTTTAAACTGATTAGAGTTGGATTCAAAACACTGCCCCCTGCTGCTTTCCAGTAAACAAAGTTTCAGTTAAACTATGTAGAACTATTTCCACATTTTAATAAAGGTCTGGGACGTGGACATGTGCAATATCTCAAATAACTTCAGTGCAGAGGTGACTATTGGACTATTTTTTTTGGAAATCCATGCTAACGGTAAAGAAGTAAAGTAAAGAAGTTGAATCAAATGAGACAAGCCAGGATATTTCTCCCTATTTTCTTCAATGCACAAAAATTAATCAGTGATAACATGATGTCATAAACACTAACTCCACTTTTTTAAAAAAGTGTTTTTTTTATAAATTGACTGTTCTTGTTGCACTTATCTGAGCCAACTACTTATCAGTTCATGAAAGAACAACCAGTCCCAGCCTCCAGAACAGCACCAGAACCCCACACTGAGGACAGAAAGGTCACTTAGCAGTTCATTATTTCTCTAAGAGGAAAAAAGAGGAGTCCGTGTCATTAGCGGCCGCTGCCATCCTTCCATGCTGAGGAGCATCTGCTGGGAGGAAGAGCAGATAACTGGTTATAGATGGAACACTTGAGCCTGTCCTCTGATTGACTGATCAATATTTCATGGTTGCTTATTTGTCAGTGTGTTGCCGACATCATAAAACCTGAGAGCAGAGATGTATCTTTGCATGCGGACAAAGATGTCTTCCGTTATTTAACGTGAAGTCAAAAATAAATTGGAGTGCAACACATAACCATGAAGCCGCTTTAATAAGTTAGCGGCCGATTTGTCGCATCAGCCTATTGTTTGTTTTTTTTAATTTTAACAGCATTTAACCAAGAAACCAAAACACAGTCAATTTTCCATATGACATAAAAAATCCATTAGAGAAGAGAATAAAAAAAGAAAATCTTCATAACATTATAAAAACGGTGGCGACAGACAGAACAAGACAGATCACGACAAAGCATGGCGACAGAACAAGACAGATCACGACAAAGCAATAACTGCATCTTAAAGTTTGACCACTTGACTCGAGGACTCAAACACCTCCAGGAGATTCACAGAGTGCACAGTATCTATAGTAACTGGGAACCAGTTCACTGATTCATCACAAACAGCTCAACCAGGACAGACCTGCACGCACAGGTCCAGTTTGGTAAACACAAGTCGAGAAAAAGCAGGAGACTCTACAAGTGTTTTACGGGGACCAAGCATGGTGCATTTGAGGTGCCTCAGGTACTGACATGACGCTAACATGTCAGTAGCTTGGAAGTGCAATAAGCTAAGAATGCTTTAAGCTCACTATTTGAAATACATGTAACAGTAATGCTAACAGTTAAGCCACCACAAGTCGTTCATGACAACAAACCTTTTAAGACGCTTAGACACACGCCATTATCCAGCCACTCAAGCACCATCCAAAGAGGCTAACAATGGGGACTTATTGTTTCTAGACGCAGCCGTATCGGAGTCAAATATGTAATGCTACATTAGTAGCTCACTGTTGGCTAACCCTAAATTAGTTAGTTTTATAAATAATGTCCTGCTGACTAACCTGTGGACAGACACAGATTATACAGAACTGTTTGTCAGGAAGTCAGGTGCACAGAAACACATTACACTGACAAATGTCAACACAACAAATTGTAAATTGTATTTTTAAAAGTTCAAATTCACATAGAAGCTTCACTGAGTGAGCAGGGAGCAGATTTAGCCGCAGCAATAGCTAGCATGGAGGCTAATAACAAAAATGGAAATCAAACATTAATTAAATATATACAGTATATATAAATAAATATATACAGACACATTGTTCTTTTCAATCACTGAGTTGTGCCATTTTAGCTTTACGTTTTAAATTAAATACGTTTTTTGTAAGCAACAAACATTCCTAAATATATAAGATTTGCTAACATTAAAAACATGCTAACAAATCTTATATTATCTATTAGGGAGTTGTTGTTGTATTTTACTGTTAATACTGGCAAATTGAACCAAACCTAAGTGCATATTGAATCCAGAGTATAAAAAAATATAATGTAATAAAATCTGGCGTGGTGCCAAATGTGGAGAAAAAAATTTAATTCATTTATTGCAGCTAAGCTAAAACTGCCCGGAAGCTTAGTCACTGTGGTTGACGAGTTGTGTTGACAACTTTTAAATGACCAAAACAGCTTATAAAAAATAAAAATAAAAGCTTTATACGAGGTTTATATTTATATTATTTTAATCTGCATACATTTAAATTTTAAAAAACGTCTTTTCCAAGTCGAGCACAGCAGACGGAAGCTGGATATAACGGTAAAGCAACGTAGCATTATATTAGCATTCCCCCAGTGCAATGACTTTATGATCCTGCCTCCCACCCCCCGGTCACAACCACGGAATGGATCTCCCCAGCAGCAGCAGCAGCATCAGCATCAGCATCAGCATCCACCCCACACACACACACACACACACCTCCACCCTCCTCCTTCCTGATGTTGCACAGAGACCAGAGTGGCCGAGGAGTGACACGGCTGATGGGGAATCCCTGCACAAACACTGCGGTTTCGGATCCAACTGCAGCAGAAACACAGCGCCGAGAGTGTGACTATGCAACAGCAGCGCGAGGAATGACAGCAGCAGGACCACGATCTACCCCCGGGGGCAGATGAGGCTTATTGTCTGGGGCAGCTGCTTCCCCCGCAGCGGGGAGGGGAAACACGAGCACGCCCACGAAGAGTGATTAAAAGGGAAACGTGATGATGAGTGATGCTGTGCACGTTTTTTAAACCTACCTGAGCGGTTGACAGTGATGAACGAGTGATCTGATCTGAGCTTCTTCTTCTTCTTTTTCTTCTTCTTCTTCTTCTTCTTCTACTACTACTATTCTTGCTAGTTCTTCTTCTGCGCTCAGGTCCACGGTCCTTTCCTCAGCCTCCAAACCAAATCCACGCTGCTCTCTCTCTCCCTCTCTCTCTCTCTCCCTCTCTGTCTCTCTCGCTCTCTCTCCCACACGCACACACTATTTCCACAATGCATGCCGGGAACGTAAGGGGTGTTGTTCATTCATGACTGCAGTCGGCTTGCTCACAGCTGATTGGCTGACATAATAATAATTAGCCAACCAAATGAACCTTTTTAAATGTGCAGAAAAGTGAGATAAAAAAATTAAATTAAAATAAAAGAATAATAATAATGAGAGAAAATGGGAAATTTCAAGAATTCTAATAAGTACTTTGTTCAAATGCAGGGTCGCTGCCCTCTGTATGTCATTTTGTTTTCAGTAGATGGGACAGCTCTGGGTGCAGGTGTTTACCACTGCCAGTAGATGGCAGCTGTCAATTTGAATTTGCATAATAATATTTGTAAACTGTATAGCAATTTATCATTATGAATGATATAATAAGGACTGTAAAAAAAAACAAATATCGGATTAATCAGAGGGTGGCTGTGATTTAATCACAATTAATTACTAATTTAAAAAAATCAATATTCCTCAATGCAGAGAAGACTTTATTAAATTTAAAGAGTTTAACATTTCTTTGGGCGCTTTGGCCCAGAGTCAATGTCTCTGTCATTGGTGTGGAACCCCAGGGTTCACCTCCTGGGCAAGTTTGAATCGGGGCAGTTGGTAACTCCCAGTGGACTCACCACCTACAGGAAGGTTTGGGGGGTTGGTACGGTGCAATGTGATGTGGGTGGAGACTGCTGCCCCTGCGACCCGGTAACAGATAAGCGGATGAAAATGGATTGATGGAAATTTTTTCAAAAAAAATTTTTTTCTAAAATTTTTTCAAAAAAAATGTTTTTTCTAAAATTAAAAAATTCTAAATTTTTTTTGAAAACTATTTTGAAAAAAAAATTTTTCTGAGATTTCTAAAAAGAAAATTCAAATTTTTTGTTCAAAATTTTTTTTTCTAAAATTTTTTGTTTCTAAAATATAAAAAAAACATTTCAAAATTTTATTTTTTCAAAATTTTTTCAAGTGGCGCTTTGGCCCAAAGGCAATGTCTCTGTCATTGGTGTGGAACCCCAGGGTTCACCTCCTGGGCAAGTTCGAATTCCAGTTAGGGCGGTTGGTACGGTGCAGTGTGATTTGGGTGGCGACTGCTGCCCCCGCGACCCGGTAACGGATAAGCGGATGAAAATGGATGGATGTATGGATGAATGGATGGATGGATGGAAGGAACATTTTTTTGTGTGTGTTCATGAGTTTGCAAGTGTAGGGTAACTGTCCAGGGTGTATACTCTGACCCCATGACCCTACAAACAACTCAGAGGAAGGAGAAGAAGAAGAGTTCTCAGTCTGCCGGGGTCTGGACCTGGAGAGATGTCGCACATATGGGTAGAAGATGAGGAACTCTGATGATGTTGTTGCAAAGCTACACTGCTAGCCACAAGCGTCATTGTACCTTGAAGGACATTGGAAAGATAGTCCAA